TTAACGGGATAAACTAACAGTAATCCTAGATGTAGGGAAGATGAGATACAGAGGAATTTGTTTCGCTAAAAAGACATCGAGCCCGAGGAAGAGTTGCATTCACGTTCAAAGTTCAACATGTGGCTGTGCTGGTTGGTTCAAATTCCGAAAATACATTACAGTACTCGACGCGATAAAATAAGAATAATCTAAGATCCAGGGAAGATACGATACAGAAAAATTCGCTTCGCTAAAAAGACATCGACCCCGAGGAAGAATCCGAGTCTGCGGTCACGGTGCCCCCAGGGCTGCTGCGGTTCATCACGTCTCCCAACGGACGACGCTCCGGCGACCACGTCATCTCCTCGCTAGCATTCTATATATTCACAACGGTGAGCTTCAAAGGACCATCTGGATCTATGCATGTCGACTTACCATGACACCGATCTTGACCCCAGCCGGCGTTTCGAGCTACGCATACCAAATTCGTTGTCAGTCGGCGGGAGCCCAAAAAAATGAAGATGGATCGAACTTACCGCGAAGGAGGGAATACTAACCGAGCTGGACGCTCCTCGGTCAGGTGTTCTGGGGAAGGACCTGGCGGGGGAGATGTCGAGCTGTCAAAAAAACAACGGTGTTAGCCAGTAAATCGCCGGTTGCAACGAGCACTGAGTGGTACGTACCTCGCGAAGAATACCATGATCGCCCTCGCCCGTGAGTCCGACCCTCAGCTTGAACGTCCCCGGGGAGAGTACCGACATCTGGATGGATACTGGGGTAAGAATCGAGGGGTCGCATGATGAATTCGGGCAAAAGAAAACTGCATACGGGAGCCGCCGGCGCCGTCACCGCCTCGGGTGATTCGAGATGGACGAGCAGACTGTCCGCCCATTGCTCCGCCTCCGCCGCCCCGTCGTCAGGTTTTGAAGCGGCCAATTGACGGGGGACCTCTATCTGTGGCTGGAGTATTGGCCAAAACTAGTTAATGGTCAATGATAGAATTTACGAGGGGCACGGAGAGCGTACATCGTGTTTTGCAAAAATTTCAGTCCTAGCGACAGCAGAGGCGACGGAGAATGCAGGGAGTACATTCGTTGGCCGTGTTTTCAGCTTAAACGAAAGGTAAAACTAACCGGGGTAGAAGGCCAACTTGACGAAGAGCCGCACAACGCGTCCGTGTTCGGCTCGGGGGTATCCTTGGCGGTGCGAATGGGTTTAGCTGGAATTCTTCCAACGCAAAATCGAAATCAACTCACGAGGTTTGGAATAATCGCAGAAGTTTCACGACTGATTTTGCGCACGTTAATGAGGAACTGAACCGCTGTTATGAGTCGTCAACCAAGAGACCCGCCGACGAATTTTGAAAGACTAACATCCTGGAATTATAGTTTCCCGTAAGACGATGGCGTAGCGGTATCGGAAATAAAGCAGCATAAGAATGGCCACGGTTACACCCTAGATACACCGGCTCGTCGTCGTCATCCGTTTCCGCAGCGTCGCTATCGGACTCCTCGAGAGGTTCTGTTGTCGGGTCCGTCGTCGGCGCTTGCGACGGAGGTTCTGTCGTCGGTGCTTGCAACGGAGTTTCCGTCACCGGTGCTTGCGACGGAGCCTCCGTCGTTGGTGCTTGCGACGGAGTTTCTGCCGCTGCAGCACAGTCGAGCTGCTTCTCTGCGCGGTCACTAACGGCAAAGCTGGTGAGGCAGGCGAACGTGACCGGGGCGTTGGTAGCTATCGCCTCCTGGTTCTGTGTCATACTCCAGGTGAGGATCTCCGCCCACGAGAATCGTTCCGCAGGTTCACCCCGTCGCCGCTCGCGAGTAAAGCCAAAGCTCAGCTCGAGCAATAGCTCGGCCTCTTTCCTCAAGCGATGACAACCTGGAGGGACCAATCGATGAGGGAGTTACGGGTGTTGTTGGTCTGCACCTTGGGGAGTTTTGGTAAGAGACGTTGGGATGGGGGGAGCGCGTATCGAGGAAGATTGAAATGAGGTTCTTCCTCTGCTGCACCGGAATGTTTCTTGGATCGCGGGTCCTTGTAGATTCGCTCGATGATGGAAGTAGGATGTGAACGAGTATCCACAGCCTTGCATTGCAGGAACGCGGTGACGGACAGGTAAACTGAGTGGTGCTTGTGTTCCCATCATCCAGAACGGCGGCAAAGTACTCTCCGATGGAGTCAAACCCGGCTCGTTGCATGCAGCGAAAGGCGACTGAAAGGCGGTCCTCCTGCGTGACGGTCGTAGGCCATTGGAATTTTGCGCGAGACCTCCGTGCGGCGGGAGTGCCTAACTGGGACGGTGGGGGATAGAGCTCATCGAAGATGCCCACGGAGAATTGAGCTTCGAGGGACGTGTTAGGGCGTGGCTGAGATGGAGCAGGAGTGCTTGGAGGCGTGGCAAAGCTCATAGAGGCAGCCCAAGAGTCGCGGTCCACTAATTGGCGCGTTGTCTCACCATGTTTGTCTCGGAGCTGCACCCAATTCAGCGACGTCAAACGACTCTGAAAATCGAAGATTACACAGAGAGGCTGGAAAGACACATGCTGGCTACAACCTTCGGCCCAGCTTCCTATGAGAGTAACCTCACCGACTTCCAGCTGCAGACCGTCGCCCGCCTTCTTTCAACAAACGATGTGCCCCTCCCACACGAGGCGGCGATAATACAGATTATTGTCGATAACCTCACAAGGCCTGGAAGAGAGGCAGAAGAGAAGACCCTCAAAGAGTACCGCGCAGTGTTGCATCCCGTCCGTCGCATCCCTTCCGAGATCCTCTGCCAAATATTCGCCTGGATGTTGCCGCCCACGCAGGTGGTTCAGCATCACACAGTGCCGGTGGCACCGTGGACGCTCGGCCACGTCTGCCGTTACTGGCGGGCAGTGGCATTGGCGCACGCCCCCCTCTGGACTTCTATCTTGGTGTATACGCCCCGGCTGGCACGCTCCGACCCAGGAAAGGAGATGGACGACGCATGCCCGCGGGCGATGGTGGAGACCCTACTCCATCGCAGTGGCAATGTCGCTCCGCTGGACGTAACCATCCTCCTCTCCCCACGGGACGGGCTCGGGGGCGGCGGCAGATCCGAGTCGCTTGAGCTTCTTTGTAGCCATTCGAAGCGCTGGAAAGCTCTGCGCCTGCGTCCCCTAGTGTCACTGGAACTGCTCCAGTCGGTGAAGGGACAACTTCCCATCCTGAAAACGCTGGAGTTGCTCCATGGATTCTCTCCGACCGGGGACGTATTCTCCATCGCTCCAAGCCTGCGCGAACTTCACCTAACGAACAACGGGCTTGTATCCCCAGTGTCGCTCCTCCTTCCATGGGACCAGCTCTCGCACTTCCACGGATCCTACCGCTCGCGTGTTCCCGCACTGGACGTTGTGGAACTTCTGCGGATCACCCAGGCGCTGGTCGAATGCCACTTGCACGAAGACAACGCGCGAGTCCCCAACAGCTTCGGTCGAGCGGTCCTCCCCCCTGTCCCCGTCCCGGTGGGGATGCCCCCTGTTGTCGTTCCTCACCTCCACCGCCTAAATCTCTCGGGCCTCCCGCAACTCCTCCAGCTCATAACGGCACCTCTCCTCCAAGAGCTCTGGATCTCAGAGAACGCGACCAACTCTCTCCTCGGATTCATCCAGCGCGCAAAGTGCCCGCTCATCACGCTCGTAGTGACCGACTGTTCCGCCCCCGACGCGCTCATTCCCGTGCTTGCCGCCCTCAGCCCGACGCTTAGGACCTTTTACGTGTACTTCAAACGGACCGCGCCGCAGGAGGCGGAGTGTCGCCTCCTCGAGGCGCTCACCGTCGCCCCCACATCCACCGCGGCGCCGCTGTGCCCGCACCTTTCGCGTCTTGCGATGGGCGACCTCAGCACCCGCGCGCTCAGCGCTTTGCTCGATGTTGCCGACTCGCGCGCCTCGTCCGGCGCTGTCGAGTCGCTGTCGTTCCTGCGTGGATTCTACTCCGGCGCGCTGCTGTACAGCGCCATGGAAGCGCAGCCGCGAGTGGATGATATGCGGGCCGCAGGGCTCGATGTGAAACTGCAGGGGGAGTTCAGACCCGGTCTCTGAATTTATGATGCGGTTTTGGAGCGTTTGCGCATAGGCGTGAGGTGTAGGAACGAAAGAATGAATATTTATGAATCGTCGTCAACCCAAGAAAACATACAACGAAATTTGGAAGGCAAACAGTCGGGAATTGTGTTTGCTCGAGGAGAGACCTTCTTGGCGCCTTGTTTGGCTTTCTTCTCGCCCTTTTTCGACTCGCTGAAGAGTATTTGTTGGTCAGGTTTTTTCCTCGTCGACTGCGAAAAGGAAACAAACAGGATGAGATACTGGTCGCCGGCGACGCGGAGAAGAGGAGAGAAGATGGGGGTGAAGAGGCTCGCGAGCGCTTGCGTATTGCGGTTGAGGAGTTCCCAGTGGAGTCCGATGAGCTCGTAGATGCCGCCGTCGACACGGGTGGAGATCCCGTTGAGAAGAGTCGGGTCGATCCTCTCCGCCACGCGCTTCAGCAAATCATGCGACTTGAACAATTCTATCACCGACTAAAACCGTGGTCAACAGCAGGCTCTACACCTCATATGAGGTCGCACGGTGACTCGCACCTGGAAGAAACCCGCGGGCTTGTCGGAAAGGTCATTCATCATCATGAGAAACATGCAGAGCGGGAAGACCGCGATGCCTTTCTGGCAAAAGACCCGACGTTCTTTGGCTGCCGGTTCTTCTTCATCCTCGCCCGTGGCCTTGAGCGATTCCTCTGCTACTGCTGCCTCTGAGTTCTGCGGGAAACATGTCGGCCAGCGTTTTTCGGGCACGGCGGGTAATGGCCCGGGCTCATATTCGTGACTGGCGAGGAAGTCGCGCACGGCGGCGCGCATGAGCTCGTCGATTCTGGGGGATTTACGAGGCGGCATGGGGGTTCTAGGAAAGGTTTGGCGTGGGTTCACCGCCACTGACGCGACGTGTCTTCTCTCGCTCCATGGGGAATTAATTATGCTTCCGTCTCGAGCAGGTTTATTCGTGTCTACCTTGGTCCAGCGGCCAAACCACCTTCCGTGCAGACAAGAGCGGAAGCAGGCGGTTGGAGGTTCGAGTCCTCCAGGTGGCACGAGGGCACCCGGACTTCGCTCCGCGAGAAACATCAGCACGTACTCTGCCCGTGCAATGCTGAGTTTCACCTTTCAGGTGTACTTTTTGTAGCTTTAGGAGCTACAACTCATTTCCCCCCCATGCATTTGAGTCGAAGGCTCGTCCACCTCTGTGGTAGGACATCAGTTGGCCCGCAAGAGTATATGTTTTTCGTGTCCACCTTGGTCTGGCGGTCAAACCACCTTCCGTGCAGAAAAGAGCGGAAGCAGGGGTTGGAGGTTCGAGTCCTTCAGGTGGCACAAGGGCTTCCGGGACTCCGGCTTCCGCTGCGCTTCCGCGACGAACATCAGCACGCACTTTGCCCGTGCAATAGGCTGAGTTCACTTTCCAGACGTGCTTTTTTTCTTTCAAAATACAACTCACTCTTCTATGATTCAGGGATTTCCCTCCAACGCTTCTGAGTCCGAGATTCGTTTGCCTCCGTGTGCCAGCAGTCGCGAATGCCACGTTGTTCCCTTCCTTCAGGACGCTTACACCCTCCCCCGACGTTGGAGGTCCAAGCCATCCAGGTACACCCCGGACGCCCGGATCCCAGGCTTCGGCCGGCCTGCTTTTGCGAGAAACAACAGTACGCAAGGCTTCACTTGGAATTTGGGCCGACTCACGGACCTCCCTTTTTGGGAAGGCCCGGCAAACAACGGCCATCACTTCCCATTTGGGTTTCTCGACGCGTCCCAGTTTGGCTTGAGGTGGCCACTCATTGTAGTGGTCAATGGGTGGCAATGGGACGTGTTTTCTCTCTCCTACCACCATCTACTCCTGTATCCCGCCTTTTTCCCAATGCCTGCCTTCACCTTTCAGTCGGAAAATGAGAAATTCACCCCGACACACACGAATGGCGAGGTACCCGCCTCTTCCGACCACGGAAACACGAAATATCGCAAGAATTTTCGATGGGGGGAGTATGTACCGGCTGCTCCGGCTGCTCAAAAGCCTGCGCTCAATGCAAGGAGTGCAGCCGCCGAGGTTTCCATCTCCCACCTCAAGATCTCCCCGGAACAGCGTAAATTAATCGACGCGATGTACCACCCCGCCGCCGGCGATTCTTTCGAGGTTCCCCCTATTGTGGACCATATCTTTACCCAGGATATCAATGCCCAAGTCCAGGTAGACCCGCTCTTCACGCAGCATAATATACTTCGAGACTGATACAAAATTCAGGCCTCCGCTATTATGGCCCAATATGGCCTGGATGTCGATTCCCGCGAGCACATCGGAAGTCGTTGGTCCCAGCAGTGGAGCCGCTCCGATAAGACCAACAACAATACCCGGAAAATCCTTTACTTGTGTAGCTGCGGATATGACCATCGTCAGCGCAACACAAAGTACGACCATGGGGAGAACCCGACCGGAGTACCTGGAACTCAGCAGCGTCACACTGGCGCCCCCTTCACCGCATGTCTTGCCCATGCAGAGATCACGGTCCGCGCGGACAATATTTTGCGTGTCCGCGGCCATTTCAACCACAACGAGGCGTGCAAAACAGCGCTGTTCGAGAACATCCCCCCAATTCCCGTCCACCCTTCGGTCTATACTGTTGCGCTAGCCCAGCTCCGTGATGGCGCAGCCTTCAGCGACATTCGGCGCAAAAATCGCGAGCTTTTCCAAGCCAAGGCGTACAAGGACTTCCCCCGCGATATTTCTTCCTCCCAGTTCCGCTGGCTCTTGACGCACAACGACTCGCGCTCGCTCTACCGCCAATACAACCGTATGAAGGGTGTAACAGTAACCGATGCACCCCAGGTTAATGTCGACGAGTGGCTGGATCCGAAGTCGAACAAATATAATCCAACATTGGCCCACGCTATCTTCCATTACGCGGCCCGTGCTTCCAAGGACGAACGTTTTGAGGTCGCCATTGCCACAGACGACATGAACCGCGCCGCATGGAGGTCACTTTTCCTGCCGTGACTTTACACCTAATTTTGCGAAGTAGCGCGAAATCTGGACGGTACGTAGGCTCCTTGGGGAAACGAAGATACTGGAGGCCTCGAGAGTCGATCAACAACGGCCACACTGCGATTCGTTCAATATCTCAAGTATTCCATGATTTTCCATCCCGTCCAACGTCACAATTAAAAAAAGACTGTTCATCCCGAGGATAAGCTTTTTACCATCCTCGTGTGGTCCTTCCCACTTCAAGCTCAGCGTCAAACATTATATCCCGCGGAATTACGTTCATTTCAAAGTTCAACATGTGGCTGTGCTGGTTGGTTCAAATTCCGAAAATACATTACAATACTCGACGCGATAAACCAACAATAATCTAAGATGTAAGGAAGATACGATACAGAAAAATTTGCTTCGCTAAAAAGACATCGACCCTGAGGAAGAATCCGAGTCCAGTGCGGTGCCCCCAGGACTGCGGTTGATCACGTCTCCCAACGGACGACGCTCCGGCGACCACGTCATTTCCTCGCTAGGATTCTATACATTCACAACGGTGAGCTCCAAAGGACCATCTGGATTTATGTCGGTCGACTTACGATCTTGACGGGCCCGGCCGGCGTTTCCAGCTACGCACACCGTTCGTTGAGCCCAGACAAAAATGAAGATGAATTGAGCTTACCGCGAAGGAGGGAATACTGACCGAGGTGGACGCTCCTCGGTCAGGTGTTCTGGGGAAGGACCTGGCGGGGGAGATATCGAGCTGTCAAAAAAAAAAAGTGTTAGCCAGTAAATCGCCGGTTGCAACGAGTACTGAGTGGTACGTACCTCGCGAAGAATACCATGGTCGACGGGGGCCTCTTGATCCGCAACCACCACCATCTTGGTGACGGTAACGAACGAGGCTCTCCCGTCGCAGTCCGGCGACAGAGAGGCAGTCTGTCCCCTCGCCCACGAACCCCGGTGGGACCCCCGAACGAGGGAAGAGCTTATAGGGCTATCCCAGCGCCGTATCTCAAGACGCTGGGGCCTCGACATCCATCGAGGTTTCTGTACGGATCAATCGTACATACAGAAGAACCTAAATAGATTTTGTAACACTCTGTCTACCTTCCCCTCTAAGACTGCAAGTCCAAGAGCACAACGAGCCCAGCGACGACAGCTACTGCGATAAACGCTGTGATGCTCGGCCTCGAGGTGACGTGGCGTCTCGGCTAAAAAACAACCCACCACCCTTCACCTCACCCGCACCAAGGGCAAAAAAGCCAAGTGAGCGACGAGCACCGTGAAGAGAAATACGCGCTGACGCAGATAAAGCCTGGCCGGCGAACGACCCAACAAGGCATCAAGAAGGTCTCGATTCGACGTCCCGCCTCAAACACAGGGAGACGAGCGCCAATCCCCCGCCAAACGCTACCAGAACAAGCCCGCCGGCAGCGTTGCCCCCCAGCTCTCGGCCCTGGTCAACGCTTTCCGGTCCACATCCCCCACACCCCAACGCATCCCCGTGGGAGGCCAGCTAGTCAGCTACAGCAACACTAGCGACGACGGGTACGAATACGAAGGCGAGGACACCGTCATACCCCCCATATCCCCCACAAACCACCAGCCCTCCCCGCACACCTCCCCGAACACCACCCCCAAAGCCGCCCCACGCACCATAATGGACACTGGCGCAGACGCACGAGCCGTATGGCTGGCAACATCGCCCACCGCCAGCGAGAAGAATCCCCACCTCGCAGAAGTCACGGACCCGGAGGGGCCGGACGACCTAGCACACTACGCTGCGTTCCAAGCCAAGAACGACGGCTGGGAGGTGCCAGTCATCCCGGACCACGTCGCTCTCGCCAACGTCGACGACGCCACGCGGGAGGAGGTCACCGCCAACCCCGACAAGTACCTCGTCATGACGTTGTTCTGCGGCGGGGTGAAGCTCTTGGAGAAGTACCCGAACGTCCGTGCCGACATGTCCAAGAGCCTCGAGGAGCTCGCCAAGAAAGACAAGCTCACAATCGTGCGCGCCGAGCCCAAGCTCAAACCCTCCACCATCCGCCGCGGAAACAAATTCGATAAATTTGCCCCGCCCTTTGTGTTCCTCGCGCAGGTCTCGGACCCCGCGGTGCGCAAGCTCCTGCTGCGCTCTCCCACGTACGCGCATTCCAAGGTGCTTGCCTTCCACATCACCAAAATCGACCCCACCCTGCAATCCTGGTGCCTCGGGTTCCTCGAAACCGATCTCGAGGGGGATACCTCGGAGATAGGCAGGCGCCTTTGCTGGGCGGCGCGAGAGACCTGGCGCGGCAACCAGAAAATTACGGCGCTGATTGACCGCGGGACGCAGCCGGGAAGTAAAGCCTCGCGCGAGGAAAGATACGAGACATTCACGAAGACTCTCGACTTCCGCTACATCCCTCACGACACCGCCCCCGTCTACGTCCTCATGGCCCAGCCGTTCACCAAGGACAACAAGCTGTGGGATGAATTCCGTGCCGCGTCGCGCGTGAAGTGCATGGACGGCATCCACGCCTTCCGACCTCACGCCAACGCAGAGGTCGGCCCGAATATCTGCGCGGACTGCAAAATCGACAGCCACCCTAAGTACGCGTGCGCGTTCACGGTGCGCGACAAGACGTGGTGGGGCCCAGGCGATCTCCAGACCATTCTGAAGACACTCCGGGACGGCGAATCTGACGACTCGGACGAGGGTGATCACCGCGGCGCGCCGCGCGCACGCAACGGCGGAAGCGGACGCGATAATCATCGAGGCGCACGTCGTGGATACGGTGGTGGTCGCCGCTAAAAAATTTAAGTACATAACCTACCTGACCACGTATACCTAAAAGTTCTCGCTCATGTACCGGGTTCATAAACTCCAATCCATATGTCCCTCTCCCACCACCGAGAACGATACACCCCCCGTCAGAATGTCTGAGGATGGAATATTCCTGAGTAAGGGCTCAGAAGAAGCCGTACCCCAATCGGCCGGGTACGCAGCCCGAACCCGCCTAATTTACTGACCGTGTGTAAACGCGGGACAGGAAGTGGGGGAAGGTTATGCGCGACGGAGACGAG